GAGAAGATTTGGAATAGAGATGACAAAAAATAAAGAAAGGAGATACAAAAGAGAAGGAAAGAGAATGCTAGGGAGCGAGGTAGATTGGAACGAGAGGGTGGATATAATGGCACAAAGCTTCTTTGAATCTCGAGACGTGCCGCCTGCCTTTGCTATCGGCTATCTGTTGCATCCTATGCAAATCTTCCTCCTTATAAATACATCAGCCTCCTTGAATCTTAGGTGCTTAGGTTCTTCCAACCTTTCTCTCTTCACCTTTCATGATCCTCAATCTTCTTGTGTTTCTGCTGCTTCATCTCCCCTTACAATCCAGGAGGACTGTCACACATCTGGAGTGATACACTGAGTATCATCCCTAGTTTCAGGAAGGAAAGAAGAGCGAAATAGTAAAATAAGAAGAGAACGTGAGAAACGCCAGGAAAGATTTGCGAGAGTTGCAAAGGTTTGTAGAGAAACCTTGTCGGAGAAAGCAAAGCTTCAAAAAGATTAAAACGTTTAAGAACTTGAAAAACAGAAGAGAGATAAACTGCACCTCATTATTTTTAAAATAGGGTTTCTAAAACTAACCACTTCAAACGCAATAACAATTTTCATTAATAGAAAAGAACAATGTTGTTTAATGCAATTTTTGTTTAATTTATGCATACACAAAATCATTTAATTAAATTAGTATGATATTTATTAAGTTTCACAATTGTTGTAGAAACTAATTTTTTTCTAATTTTATGAAATTTAATAAAATGAAAATATAAATTCAGAGATGAGTATAATATTATTTTTTTGTAGAATAATTACATCCATTTATTCCGTTTGGTGGTGAATCATTGTCATTTTCAAAAGGGAAGCGTCCAATCGTTAAACGTCGTAATCTAAACGATATATGAATGCACGTGGCGCGAATTGCTAAAGGAAAAGTACAACACGTGTCGTGATAAATACAGTGGAGGGTCAATCATCGTGCCCGAAAATTTGAGAAGCGAATATCATTTGTGATAATTTCATCTAATCTTGTCTTTCTTTTTATTTATATCCATAAAATACTAATAATTAAACTCTTCTCCCTTACAACACCGGATATTTCGGGATATCCACCAGCTTGTGGCGGTTAGAATATCCTTTGAATATTCTAGGTACAGCCATAATTATCCTGAGAACATCAAGCGGATATCCAAACTACCAAACACTGTCAGATATCCTGAAATATCCGGTGCTACTATTTGTTTTTAGAATAAAGTAAACTTTTTATCAGACTTTTAATTTTTATACTAAAAATAATAAAGATTGAGCTAAAATTTAGTACATCAAAAATTGACAATTTTCGAAATTGTTACTCCTATTTTTAGAAGTAACAACTTTTAAAATCGTTAAATTTGACATTGTAAATTTTGACTCAATTGACAAAAAATTAAAATTCCCTTCCAAGTATATATTTCAATTTAGATCAATGGGAAAGTAAAAACATAAATCCATATTTATGACATTTTTTGAAGTTGCTGTGTTTGGATGGTGTTGGTTACCATCTTTATTAGGCTAATTTATTTAAAAAAATAATTTAATAGTTTTATAATTATATGTTCATGATTATTGAAAGAAATAGAAGACCACAGCAATAAGGCTGAAATTTGATACAATAACATTGATTGTGCAAGGAGGTGATTTAAATCTTATTCAAAAAGATGCAATGCCTCTTTTAAGATACGAATATATGCTGATTTAAAGGACCAGCTTCATGTTGAAGATAAACGTGTTGCATTGTAACTTCACACATTTCAATGCGATCCGGCATCCACAAGTCGACGTACGACTGACGACAATGAGACACGTATCAAACTTATCACTTCGCATCTCCTCACGAAGTCTCTGTTATTTAAAGACGTCGCGTCAATTATAACAATTTGTTGGTCAAATACCAAGAGCACGTATGATCGGTCAACTAAAAAAATGCCGATCACGTCGAATTTCACTTAGGAAAATCACATACAAAGTCGCAAAATGAATTTTTATTTTTCTGTAATATTCCTTCCTTATCCTAGTCGAAATTTGGGAAATCTTTGGTCCTCTTTAAGTTCTTTTGATTCTCTTTTGATCCTCTGTGTATTTTTGCTTAAAATGTACGGGTTTTTAATACACGTTATATATTTTATGTGTATTGCATACAATAATAATTTTGAAATATAAATATTATAGAGGCAAATGTTACAGTGATTAACACTATAAGTGAAAATGGGACATATTTATAAAAATTTTAAATGATTAATTAACGAAATAAGAAATAAACACATTTCTAAAGCAATATAAATATTCCATTAATCTCAAAATAATAAATAATCGATTATTTAATACAGTAAATCTTCGTTAACAGGAACATCCGGTTAATATGAACAAAAATTTTGGTCCCGACAAAGCCCTATGTAAATTGCATTGAACGCACCTCGGTTAACAAGAAACTCGAACAATATTTAAGCTCCTTTCTCTCTTTTCAGCTCGGTTTACGCGAACTATACCCACACAGTACCGAAGATTTAATAAAACTTTATTAAACCTTTATTTCCAATGTTCTGAGTAATTAAAGATATGTTGAGTAAAGATTGTATAAATATTTAAATGTCCGCACTTGACTAAATATTTAGAGTAAAACTTGACTGAACCTTTAAATTAAATGTTTATCAAGGTTCGTCTTGAAATTTGACTGAACCTTTAAGTTAAATGTTTATCAAGGTTCGTTTTGAAACTTGACTGAACCTTTAAGTTAAATGTTTATCAAGGTTCGCCTTGAAACTTGACTAAACTTTTAAATTAAACATTAATTAAATCTAGGAGAGAATGTTTAATAAAAATTTTAATTAAATATTCGTTAATTGTTTAATAAAAATATTTATAAAAAAATAAAAATTATATTAAAGTAATATTAATAGTTAATATTATACTTAATTTAAATGAGCACAAGAAAAACGTATTAAAAATAAGGTTACATAAGGAAATGGTAGGTAATTAAATTAAACAATCAATTAAATTGAAATAATTAATTATTTATTAATATAATAAATTTAAATTTAAATATAATTAATAAAATAATATAATTACTTTTGATTTATTTTCTTTCACAAACATTTCATATCATTATTTTTTTATAATGTTCTATCTACTACACAAATAAAAGAGCGGTTTTTTTTTAAATGAAGAAATTGTGTAAAATATCGAGAATGTATTTATATTGATTGTGTGATCTTCGTAAATGTAGTTGTTGATCGCGTGACGTGTACGAAGATATGTTTCGGGAATATTCGGATTCCGAAGGGACGATGATAATGCGTGACATTGTCGAGAAATTTAGTTCGATAAAAGCCTTGTAAAGAGTAACACATTTTCTAATTTATACGATTTTAAATATATTATTAATGGACGGATATTTTATGTTTTATTTTATTTTGAATTAATTAAACCTTTATGAAATTCACACGAGTTGTAAAATTTATGGCGACCGTGACAGGACTCTAAAGTGAATTTCCGTGAAATATTCAGATTTAATATCGTGAAATTTGTCGTTGACGGCGTGGTCAAGATGGACGCTAAGAAAACCGCCAGATCAGCCGTGCGCAGGGCTTTTACAAGATCTATGAACTCGCTTAAAGAAATTTTAGATGCACAACCGGTATCGAAACAAGAAGTTTTAGTGACTTTCTTACAACTTTATTTTTTTTATAATGTTCTATCTACTACACAAATAAAAGAGCGGTTTTTTTTAAAATGAAGAAATTGTGTAAAATATCGAGAATGTATTTATATTGATTGTGTGATCTTCGTAAATGTAGTTGTTGATCGCGTGACGTGTACGAAGATATGTTTCGGGAATATTCGGATTCCGAAGGGAAGAAAAAAACCGAGAGTTGGATGATCTAAACGCGAAAATCTTTGAACTTTTGATAAACGCTGAGTCATCGGAAGAGGCTTTAAATTCAGAGTGTGAAACAGTGGATGAATATAAAATGAAGTGTCTCCACATCAAAATGGAGGTCTCTACTGTTACAAACCCGACGCTACAAAGTAATCAAGTTTCCCAAGTGATTCCCTCCCAATCAGTCCATATTAATTCGGAAGTCAGGCGTTCGTATATGCTACCCAAAATTGAATTGAAAAAATTTTCTGGGGACATTAAAGACTGGTTGCCATTCTGGAGCCAGTTTAAGAAGATTCACGAGGATCAATTAATGGAAAAAGAGGATAAGTTTCAATATCTTATTCAAGCGATGACCCCAAATTCGCGAGCTAGTGAGTTAGTGAATAGTTTTCCTTCAACACGTGAAAACTATGATAAGGTGATTACAAGTTTGACGAACCGGTTCGGTAGGGAGGAGTTGTTGGTAGAAGTGTATGTGCGTGAGCTTTTGGAACTTGTGTTGAGCAACGCGTTAAAACCCAACGGAAAACCCCCCCTTTCAAGAACGTACGACAAGTTGGAATCCCACCTTCGAGCTCTTGAATCTCTTGGTGTTACATCAGACAAGTGCGCAACTATATTATTTCCATTGGTTGAGTCATCGTTGTCCGAAGAAATTTTACGTGGCTGGCAGAAATATGGCAACAACGCAAGAGCCGACGATTCTAAGGACAGACTGGCAAAATTGATGGACTTCATACGTGAGGAGGTGGAAAATGAACAAAGAATTACTATTGCGATGGGAGGTTTCGGAGCATCAGCTGATCGGGAAAAGTTCAAGGAAGACAAGCGGAAGAGAAAAAATAAAAGTGACTTTGAAGGTGATATACCAACAGCTGCAGGACTTCTCGTAGCACCGGATAATGCATTAAAGTGTATTTTTTGCAATGATAGTCACGAAAGTCATCTGTGTCAAATGGCTCGAGATATGTCTCTAGAAGAGCGTCAAAAGTGTGCCAAAGGGAAAAACGCGTGCTTTAAATGTCTAAAGAAAGGCCATAGTTTTTTAAAGTGATGGTACAAGGACAAGTGCGCGTGGTGTGGTAAGAAACACGTTTTGGTTATGTGCCGCAACGTCCCCGGTAGTACGAAAACGGTTGATATCACGAGTAAAAAATTTGACAATAGTGTACAAGAAGTCAATGTGTCTGCGAGTTTGACAAATCCACAAGTGTTCTTGCAAACTTTGCGCATAAGATTGCGCAATGGTGAGAAAGAAGCTATAGTGAGAGCAGTGTTCGATTCGTGTTCCCACAGGTCATACATGCGGGAGACGACTGCAAAGATGATGGGTTATAGATCGATTGAACAACAAAAACTAGTGCATCAACTTTTTGGTGGAGTACGGACCAAACCTGTCATTCATCAAGGATACAGGATTTTCGTTGGTGATCTAAATAATAAATTTGAGTTTAATTTTGTTGTTTTGTCGAAAGACAATATCGTCGAAAATATTCCCAGTGTCAACGAGGGGCCATGGATCCAAGAATTAAAAGAAAAGAACATTGTATTGTCTGATGTTGGACCAACGAGTGAGCCTATTTCTGTTCTCATTGGAGCTGACGTTTTGGGAAAATTGCAGACTGAAGGGGTACTCAACCTTCGAAGCGGAACAACGGCGATAGTGACGAAACTAGGATGGACGATGATTGGGAAGCAGTTATCGGACGAGGAAGACAGAGTCGATGCAGCATTGCTCGTAACTACGTTGTTTATTCAATCAGCTGATGTGACCGATCTATGGAGTCTGGACGTGTTGGGAATTGCGGATCCAGTCGAAACCATTTCAAAAGAGGAACAAGATGCCAAGGTCAAAGAAGAATTTCGGCGTTCAGTCAATATAAACGACGAAAAAAGATATCAAGTGAATTTACCTTGGAAAGAAAATCATCCCTCTTTACCGTGTAATCGAATGCTTGCTGAAAAAAGACTAGAGATTACTATTCAAAAGTTAATTCAAAAAAATATTCTGGTGGAATATGGTCAAATATTTCAAGAATGGATGCAAGAAGGTATTATAGAAAAGGTTCCTGACAATGAAATTAATAATTTTGGACATTACTTACCGCACAGACCTATAGTTAAAGAAAGAAGCACGACAAAAATAAGACCCGTGTTTGACGCGTCTGCTAGAGCAAGGGATAAACCATCATTAAATCAGTGCTTAGAAACGGGATCGAATCTTATCGAACTGATACCGAAATTGTTGATGAGGTTCAGGAAAAAAGAGATTGGAATAATCGCAGATGTGAAGAAAGCTTTCCTACAAATAAGTGTTCGTCCGGAAGATCGGGATTTTCTTCGTTTTTTGTGGTGTGATCCAAGTGATACGACGAAATTACAAGTTTATAGACATTCAAGAGTTGTTTTCGGAGTGTCAAGGAGTCCTTTTTTGCTGGGTGCCGTGATAGAAATCCACCTAGAAGAATCTTCAAAAAGGGAACACGACAAGGAAAAAAAGCAGATTATCGAGGAATTAGCATGTTCACTTTATGTGGATAATTGTGTCGCTAGTGTACATACCTTGAGAGACAAGTGTTTATTCCAGGAAGTGGCCACCGAAGTGATGGCAGAAGCTAAGTTTGAGTTGAAAGGGTGGGAGTACAGTGGGGGAATCCGAGAAAAGTAGGGAAACAGCTGTGCTTGGATTAATGTGGGACAAGGTCGAGGATACGTTAAGATTGAATCATGTGACCTTCGAAGAGACTCTACCCCCCCAAATAACCAAACGTGTGATTTTGTCGATGAGTCACAAAGTGTTTGATCCGATAGGATTTTCCGCCCCTGTTTTATTGCGTCCAAAATTGTTAATGCAAGAAATTTGTGTAAGGCAACTTGATTGGGACGAGAATGTTGACTCTGCGATGGAAAAATCTTTTAAGGAATGGTACCAAGATTTGCAACTTCTAAAGACCTTGAAAATTCAACGAAGAATGTTGGGAAACCCAAAGGGAGAAGATTCTCTAACTTACCATGTTTTTGTTGACGCAAGTCAATCGGCTTACGCAGCAGCGATATTTGTGCGAACGGAGACCATCAACGGAGTGGAAGTGCATATGGTGGAGGCAAAGGCTAGAGTAGCTCCTACCAAAAAACCTACAATCCCCCGGATGGAATTACTGGCTGCCACGATGGGCGTTCGTCTAATGGAATTTATATCGTCTGTGTTAAAAATCGAAAAAACAAAGGTGCATTATTGGAGTGACTCGTCTACAGTGTTGACGTGGATAAAGTGCGGGAATCAGTGGGCCACCTTCGTGTATAATCGAGTTCAGGAGATACGACAAAAGAGTGATATTCAACAGTGGAGACATGTGCCCGGAGAAAAGAATCCTGCAGATCTCCCTTCCCGAGGTTGTACAGTCGAACAGCTTATCGCGTCAAAATGGTGGGAGGGTCCCTGTTGGCTCAAGTGTTCACCCGATCAGTGGCCCAATTCAGTGTATTCTACCGATGAAAATTCGATTAATAAAGAATTGAAAAAATGTGCTATAGGCAAAAAATTCGTGAGTGATTCAGGTCACGACCACAGCTGTTTGTCAAGAAAGAGAAGAACATGTCAACTGGTATACGGAATACTTCTCATCTTACTCCAAGATCATTCGAATGGTGAGTTGGATGCTGAGGTTTATCAAAAACTCAAGAAAACAAGCTTCTTCCCGTAATTTTGGAGAATTGACGAGTCAAGAAATATCAGCTGGAGAAATCTGTCTTTTGAAGGTCGTTCAGGGAGAAATGTTCAAGGGTGAGTCGGACGAAAAAATTACAAGTTTGAATCCTTTCATAGATGCGTCCGGTGTTATTCGATCCAAATCATTAATCTCAAATCGACAGGACAAGGAAGACTTCAAATGTCCAGTGATTCTGGATCAAGGTCATCCATTGGTCATCAGGTTAATCGAGTTTCATCACGGATCATTAAGTCATGCCGGATTGCAGATCACTTTGAACAATCTTCGAGAGCGTTTTTGGATCCTAAAAGGGAGAAGAGCAGTCCGTTCGGTGAATGGAAGGTGTGTGATCTGTAAGAGATATCAAGCAAAAAGAGTAGAATCATCGCAAGCGGTGCTTCCAGTGGATAGGGCGAAGGATGCCAGAGTCTTTGAGGTGGTTGGAGTTGATTATGCCGGTCCAGTTTATTTGAGAGATGGGAAAAAGGCATGGATCGCTTTATTTACCTGTGCAATTTACCGTGCATTACACTTGGAACTAGTAACAACCTTGTCAACAGAAGGTTTTATTGAAGCATTGAGGAGATTCATCGCTCGACGTGGTCGACCTTGTATTCTCTATAGTGATCATGGCACGAACTTCGAGGGTACCAATAATGCACTTCGAGGAATCAACTGGGAAAAGGTTTTCAAATACAGTGCTGTTCGAGGGATGCAGTGGAAATTTAACCCGCCCGCTGCTCCGTGGTGGGGTGGATGGTGGGAGAGGATGGTGCGAATGGTCAAAGATTTACTGAAAAGGGTATTGAAAAAGGCGTGCCTAACTTATGAGGAAATGAGCACGACACTTTGTGATTGCGAATCAGTGATCAATTCTCGTCCGATCACATACCTTTCTGATGACAGTTCGGAGCCAAGACCATTAACCCCGGCTATGTTTCTTCAAGAAAACACCAACAATGAAGTTCAAGACTTGGATCAGATTGAGAGGACTGATTTGAAAAGAAGATTCTACTATCGACAAGAAATTCGAGACAATCTGCGGAAACGTTTTCGAACAGAATATCTTGGTCAACTTTCAAGAAGAAGTAAGCACAAAAGAAGTGATCGCGTCTTGAGAGTGGGCGAAATTGTGTTGATAGGAAGTGATAACGAAAAGCGATTAAATTGGCCTTTGGCCCGGGTCATTAGTGTTGTAAACGGAAAAGACGGTGTGGTGCGCGTCGTAAAATTGAAAACAGCTAACAATAGTGAATTGACAAGACAGGTGCAAAGAGTGTTTCCTCTGGAGATCCCCACTCCAGAGGATGCAAAATTTTTGGAAAATTTAAATTTGCACAAAGTCTTTTCAAGTGATAAAGTACAAGGGCGACGCGAAAAACCTATTGAGCAAAAGAACTTTTCTGTGAATAGAGACCCTAATGAAATCATTAAATGTACGAGGAGCGGACGACAGGTAAAAGCTCCTGAAAGATTGATTTTGTAATGTAAAATTGATGAAGTTTGTTTTGACTAATTTATTATTAGGAATAAAAGTATGAAATTAAATTTTCTATTAAAAAGTTTATTAACAAGATGAATGAAGAAAAAAAAATGAGGGGCTGATAGTAAAAATGCGTTATAGAAATATTCAGAGCAAGAGTTAATTAACTATATTTTATCGCAGAAAAGGAATAATAATTAATCACGAAGAGAAACGAATCGTTTGAAGTTAAGAGCAAAAACGGGATATCTTTCTATCTCACCTTTGCCCGTAATCAAAATTTATTTCGTTTTTGCCGAATTCTGAATTGAATTTTTGCTAATTTACTATACGATATATTCATTTATGTATGATAAAAAATTTGTTTGTTCGCCTTATTAATTATTTTTTGATTAAATTGACCTACGCGTTAATTTAATTCTTGTCAAATTTTTAATATTGAATATTTATTGTGGTGTCTTAAAATACTTTTTTTGTTCTCCAATCATGTATAGTTGACATTAACAATTTTTTAAATGCATTTTCAAAGTATTAAATTAATGAAAATAATTTTGTCAATTAAATAAATATTTTCCCATGTAAAAAACTTTTTTACATTATTTTTTAAATTATAAATTTTTTTAGTTAAAATTAACAGTCATTTAAAAATAGAAAGTATGCTTTTTAAATATTTAATATCCCTTTTGAGTGGGAACTTTTGTAATCAAAGAAAAAGTATTTTCCAATGGAAAAAAAATTGATTATAGATTAATACATAATTTGAAACAAGACATTTTTTCCGTTCCCGTGCAGAAGTTGTATTCATGTTAAGAAAACAAATGACAATTTCGTTACGTTTAAAACCACTTACGAGGTTAAAACAGTTAGAAAAAAAGTTTGTTTACTTTTTTCTTCTGTGACAGATATATTAAAATCATTAAAAGTGTGAATTAATTAGATAAAAGTAGAATTTTTGAATCAAAATGGATTCAACAGATGAAGGTAAGTTGAATTAAATAAGTAACTGAATTTATGATTGATGGATAAATTTGATTGATGTTTGCAAGTTAGCCTAATAATGATGATAAATAAAAAAATGTATAATAGTAATAAAATAATTTTTAACCATAAGCAATTCAAATTTAATTACAGAAAGTTCTGAAGACTGTTTAACGGACACAAACAAGTCTCTTAATGAAACTTCGTCAGGAAATAAAAATGATGGTTTGTATTTGTGATTAATTTTTAATTGTTTTTTTTAATCCATAGAATTTCCTATCCGCCAGGGTGGATGAGGAATTGCTCATTGTCATAAAAACGATATTAAATAACAAATATACTTTTTTTTAGATTTTTCACCACCTGAAAAAAAACTCTGTCGGAAAAGAAAAAGACAATCTGAGTTGCACAAAACAAGTATAGCCAAAGAAAATGTTGAAAAGGGACGAGAACGAGTCACTGTTTCTGGAAAAGTGATACCTGCAAAAGTATTCACTGGCCAAATATTGTGTGGATGTAAATTGAGTTGCCCGACAAATTTTGATCTTATTAGACAAGAAGAAATTTTTCGCAATTATTATGAAAATTGCAACCACATTCAAAAGACGCTATTGATACGGTCTTGTGTCGAGAAAGATCCTGTCAAAAGCACGAATAATGTAGACAGACCCCTCATCCCACTGAAGAAACGCGATTTTAATTTCAAGTACTTCTTAACAAGTAATTTGGGAGTTCGTGAACAAGTGTGTAGGGCTTTTTTTCTCAAATGCTACCAAGTATCAAATTCTTCAGTAAATCGAGTAATAAATTCTGCTGTGTCAAATCCAAACGCTGCTGAAAGACGAGGAAAAGCTTCTTCTGCAAATCGAACGAGTGACATTGCGAGAGAAATCGTAAGAACTTTCATCAAACGCTTCCCAGCATATGAATCGCATTATGGTCGTTCATTTTCGCAAAAAAAAATCTCGCTGTGGATTTAAGTAAAGCCGAAATGTACAGGTTGTACAAACGTCAATGCGAAAAAGAAAACATCACTCCGGTTTCTGAAGCGATATTTCGCGAAATTTTTAACAACGATTTTAATTTGAGTTTCAAGAAACCTCATACAGATTCGTGTAAAACTTGTGACAGCTACAAGGCCCAGATATCCGATAAATCTTTGTCTGCAGAAGGAAAGGAGAGATTAGAAAATCTGAAAAAAGAGCATGATGCTTTGAAGAAAAAGATTGCCGATGAATTCAAGAGCGATGTTACAAATGCATCTGAAAATACCGTCGTTCTAACATTTGATCTGCAAAAAGTATTGCCAACACCTTCACTGACAACAAGCGTGGCATTTTATAAACGACAACTGTCCACTTATAATTTGTGCGTCTACGATGAAATTGAAAGAAAAGGTAACACTTAATATTTTATTTTTTATCTATTATTTATATTTTTAAAGTTACCGATTCGTACTTTTCACTAAAAAAAAATCTTTTAAAATCTTATTATTTTTAACGTTTAAAATCATTTTATTTAATTAAAATCAATAAAAATTATTACGATACAACTCTTCTCATGACAGGCTTGAACGTGCCGCGTCGACTCACTGCAAAAAGTGAATTAGTTAAAAAAACTGTTCAAAGTTATTAAAAATTGCGTTAAATTCTACAATAGATTTTCTTTTTTCTTTGCTTTTCTCTTTCTTTCTTTTCTTTCTCTTCCCTCTCTCTCACTCTCACTCTCTCTATTTGCTTCTCTCTTTCTTCTTTCTTTGTTTTTCTCAAAATTGGCACGTTCAACCCCCAATTCTCTTATCCACAGGTGACAAAAAATAAAATTATTAAAATCTCCCATTTTCATAAATCGTTTTTATATTGTTTCAGCGTACATGTACATCTGGTCAGAAAATGTTGCTTCAAGAGGTGGACAAGAGATTGCCTCTTGCTTGCTAAAACATTTGTGAAACAACATTCCGGCATCTACTGACCAAGTGATTTTGTATTCTGATTCCTGCGGTGGACAAAATCGGAACATTAAGATGGCACTAATGTTAAAACATTTCTTAGTCTCTAGTAAGATTGATTTGATCGAGCAAAAATTCTTTTTGCCAGGTCACAGCTATAATAGTTGTGATCGGAATTTTGGTTACATCGAGAAGGAAAGACGAAAGTTTGAGACTGTAAACGACCCCGATCATTGGATTGAAATTATTGAAAATACGAGGAAGCGAGAGCCTAAGTTCATAGTCACAAAAATGGAAGCTGCTGATTTTTTCACTTCGCAGGACTTACAACAACTCATTGTCAACAGGAAACAAGACGTAAATCGAACGAAAATAAATTGGCTTCTCACGAGATCGATAAAACATGACAAAGAGCAACTTTTCGATCTTTATTTGAAATATGACGATGAGAAATTGTATCGGGTTCACATCGACAAGAAAAATATTACTGAAGGACAATTTCGAGATGCAGAATTATCTCTTTTGTATCCGAGTGGTAAAAGTATCACGAAACAAAAATACAATGATCTCATGTCGCTAATGGAA